CTCTCTCTCTCTCTCTCTCTCTCTCTCTCTCTCTCTCTCTCTCTCTCTCTCTCTTTCTCTCTCTCTCTCTCTCTGCCTTCGCCGTCTCATCGTCCGAGATGAGGGGGTGGCTCGAGGCATGAATCTGAAGTGACGCTACGACGGTACGATAAATCAAATTAACTCCCGAAAGTTTCGAGACTTTTCGGCTTCCCCTCCCCCCTCGTCCGCCTCGGCGCAGCTATTTCGCGGTCGTGATTGGATGGTGAAACGGAACGTGGAAAAAGACTAGGCAAAGTCGAGCCCCTCTTCCCCGCCCCCCCCCCCCCGCGTAGTCTGAAACCCCGCGCGGAAGGGGTGAAACCTGCTTCAAAGGCGGCGGTGTGTCGGGCCGGTCGTAATTATCGATTCCTTACATAAGCTACTTTTATTAGAATCGTAAATATAACATGAGGGAGAGCGGCACACGACGTTGAAGCGTTTCCTGAAAGTTCCGGCTTGAAAAGCACAGAGGGAAGAAAGTGCAGCGCCAATTATTAATTCCGAAGGAGAAAATCGCAGATCCGCCAGATCAGCGGCCGCGCACGAATCGAAAGTTCCTCTTGCGTAAGCGAAATCTGTGGCTCTCTCGTTACCGCTGGTTTCTAGTTTGTTTCGCTCTATTCGTTTTTTTATCGCCGTTGAGCACACGTAGCCGTACAATGCGTTTCAGCACCGTCTCGTATATCATATTTCCGTCATCGATAATGGCAACGTATTGATTAAATTTTTATTTCGCTTTCCCCTGGAAATATTTTCCCAACTCGCTTGCGCCGCCGTTCGTCTTCCGAGGCTCGGAGTTTTCTTTCAGCATATATCGTAAAAGGGAGGAACGCCTCTATCATCTCTATCCAGCTCGCTACGCTCTTTCCTTCCGCTTTCCTGAGACACCGCCCGCAAGTCGCTCCTGTCACGCATATCCAGCCGTGAGAAAAGGGAAGGCGCGCTATTTTCTTCACGCTCGAACGTGCCGAAATAAGGGTCGACCGGGAAAAGGTAGAGCCGGCCATGAAGGAACGTCGGATTCCCGAGGCGTGGCACCTCGGGAAATGGATTCAACTAAATTCTCACACTCGCCGAGACGGGCTGAGCCGCGAGAGCCGTGATGCACTCGCCCCTGCACGAGGGGCGAAGAGACGACGGGTGGGAGTGGAGAGACGCGTGGTGTAAACCCGAGACAAACCAACAAGCAAATGTGTTTATCCACGGGACCTCTTGCAAACGGGGTCTAACGAGCCGGAAATTTCGGCGGTGTCAGGTTCGAGGAAGCGATTCTCACCTCTGGGGAAACGCACGCGCTCGAGATCGGCGGAGAAGAGGCGGAGCCGAGACTCATCTCGCCCCGGAAAATCCGAAGGCGAGCGCTAGCTGGCAAGAAACGAGCGGACGTAAGTAACGGGCGCGATCGGTTATCCGATGATCATGTAAGTGTCGATAGCGGCGAGATTGCGCCGCGACTGGATAGAGGCGGCAAGAACTGACGTCGCCGTCGTTAAAAACTGGCGGTGACAAACAGGCAGGTGCTCAAGAGGATTCGCGCGGGTTCGATTACGGGGAATGGCAGAGAAAGGGAGTATTGCGCTCATTATTCAGACTTCCGCTAACGAGCTCCTGGTGTTGTCGACCCGCAAATATTATGCCGAATTAAATATCAGTTACGTTATCGTGTGTACATCATCGCCACTGACGTAACGGAGTCGCCGGAGGCGACTGGAAAACTGCAGGGGGCGAGAGCAGTCCTGAATGAATCTGCTAAGAACTGTAACTTCCGATGCGGGAACAGCTGATTAAAAGAGATGAGAACGCGACAAAAGTTATTTTAATTGAAACGATGTGCAGTTGCAGCCGACCAGACATTAGAGAGGTCACGTATGAGGAGATTCGATGTTTATCGCAACGCTTGGAATTCCAAAAATTAATGTTATCGCGCTTCGACGGCAGTTACCGTCGACTATCAACCACAGCATCATCTCGTGGAACCGGTGTCGGGGCAGTCGTTACCTTCTGGCCGCCTTGACGCGCTCGTAAAAAACTTATCTTTACACGAGCAGACGGCAATTTGTCCGGCTTGCCCCGCCGCTCGGAATTCAGCCGAAATTTTACGTCGTCCGCAACCCCGTAAATTGCGTCTTGCGCTCTCACGCGCTCATGTTTACGCGTCCGGGGCCTAAGTGGCGCGAGGAGAAAGAGAGAGAGAGGGGTGGGAAGAAACATTCACGGAAAGGCTTGCGCGGAGACGAAGATAGGTCGAACGGAGGCAGCTGCGCGGAAGACGGGGCGTACATCAAGCCGGAAGTACCGCCGGGGTGCCGTTAACATAAACCCAGTCATTGCTCCCCAGACATAATACCCTTATACCTTACGCCCGCGTAATGTCAAACCGCGTCTCGTATAGCTTGCCATAGTTTCCGGTGTCGCGGGCGAAAAGAAGGACTTCCGGACGTTTTCCCTCGCGACGCGGTTGAGCTTCGACGAGATTTTAGCTCCGAGAGGTTCAGACAGGGGTTCATACCCTGTACGTTGCGGCTTACGCGCCGCTTAACGCGCGCTCCCGTCCCGTCGTTCCCTCTCGTCATTTTTTCAACGAGAAATTAAGCCTCGGGGAGACGTAAGAATCTTTCTCTCCTGAATCTTTCATCGCGATACGACGTTTCCAGAGGGGAAGGCAGACTTGCAAACTGGCAAAATCGTGAAGCTACAGACGAAATGGATGATGCTGACTTGCTCTGTCCGTGGATGAAGGCGACGGGGCAATTTACAAGGCTTTTACCGAGCGCCGAGCGATTTTGAGATATTCCCGCTCGCAGTACTTGTAGAATGCGGGAGAGGTATGCGCACGGTATCTGCACATGAAAGGAAGGCGTCTAAAAAGGATCGATATTTGCAGTTGCTTTAGCGGAAGTAACTAGGATGCACTCTCGCCGTGTGTGTACATAAGTCGGTTGCCTCGCGAGCGTCTCTCCTATCCGAGAATCACCTCGAGGGCCGGTCCCCCCGATTCATCAGGAATAAATAAATCGAGGATCCTTTTAAGAAAAAGCTTGCGCTCTCCTGTGGGAGTGAAATCCCCCTTAAACCGCAAATCGTCATACAACGGCAACTGCACCTCGGTTTAAAATGATCGCCCGGTCGAATCGAATTGATATTCCGCGCCTGTCGCGTCTCCTTTATCTGTTGAATTAAATGATAATTCGCCAATAATACGAGGAATGTGCGAGCAGCTCATCAGTCACCCGCGTCGCGATATACCGCATCGCTCGTCTTCGCACACGTTCCACGGGAGATTCCAGCCGTCGAACGGCAGGTCCGTCGTCCATACTGAAAAGGTCTTCCTACGGCTTTCACGTCGCGGCCCCCGGCCCGATAATACAAAGAAATCCGCATCAGGGTAATGTCGCGTGAAGTTAACGCGCCGGCGTAACCATCCTCATACTCTCGCTCCCTCCCCGAGGGATCGGATCGTGGCCGGTGTTTCGATGAGGGCTGCCGCTGCAGGCGGACGGCGGGAAAGAAGCGGGGTGAGAAAATCCCATTAAGGCGCGGAGAGATCTTGAAAGGACGCGATGACACCGTTCTAGCTCGTCCGATGCAAGCGATGGGAGCGATATAAGGACCTCTACCCCGCGTCGCACGGAGATGGAATTACGGAGCGGTGAAAAGGAGTGGCGAGAAGGAGTATCCCCGTCGTCCATTAATCGCTAATCATCTCGAGATGTCTGAACGGCAGAGAGCGGAGAAATGACACGGATGAGTGTCGGCGGGGCGATGAGAACACGGGGAGATCTGCCTTAATTTTCGTAATATCCCTTTCCGAAGGGCGCGATCGCGCAGCAACGGCGATGTCGGTCATCTCGCCACCGGCGGTGATACTTTTCCCCAAGATCGATTAGTACTAAACTCAAACTAACTGACGCACCAAGCGCCGACGAAGGAGAACGCCGGGGTTTGAGTTACGGAAGGGTCGAGTTTAGTCGCTCCGCTGGACTGTAACTCGAGAAACACCACCACCGCCGGGGGAGAACTTGCCTCGTCAGCCGCTGGTATAAGGCCGAAACCTACCGCCTGCAGACAGGAAACGGAATCCAACTTCCTTCCTTCCTCGGCCGAGGGCGAAGATTAATCTCGGTGCGGCCATATCTCCTCCGACTGGACCGCTCCTCGGTCCTTGCGACCTTCCGTCATTATCCGTCCGCCTCGCGTTACGCGAGATTCTCTCCCGGCTCTCGTATGCAAATGATGACTCGTAAAAAGGAATCGCAAGAAGGTTATTTAAATTCATTCGATTTCGCCAGGATTGACAGTAATTCCTGAAATGAGATTGAAGAGCCCGATCGAATGCAAATGAAACTTTTAGCACGCTGATCATTCGATCGACTCTGATAATTACTCGAGGTGAACTCTGTAATTGAGAGACAATTAAGAATCCCTTTTACCATAAGTAAATATAAGTGTAGCGGAGCTGTGAGGCGGAATAATTTTCCTATTTAAGGGAAATTAAATGTTTTTCAGGAAGAAGAGTCTCCTCGTACGATTATTCAATACGATGGACGTTTATCGCACACGCGACTCGATTCGTACTATTTTCGATAATTTATTTTATTACGCGCACCGAAATTGTTCATTGCGAATGCATTTTCCAGACCCATGCGGAAGCATCGAGTGCGCGGAGCCAGAAGTCTGTCAGCTGGACGGCTCGAGGCATCCAGTCTGTCGCTGCGGGGAGCAATGTGGCCTCGAACTGTCGCCGGTTTGCGGAAGCGACGGCAAGACATATTCGAACGAGTGCAACCTTCGACAGGAAGCCTGCCGATCGAGATTACCGCTCAAGAAAATCTACAACGGCGCCTGCAGCTCCGGTAATACAAGAATTGTTAACAATTTTTACCCGGGACGTCAAATCGTCATAACAGAGCGATGGAATATTCGGAAAATCGTAGCCGCGTCTTGCTACGTGCGATTGTTGCATAGTGAATAATTTCGAACGCAAAAGCTGCGCGTTTATACTGCGCGTGTTAATGTAATAAAATAATGAGGATTAACGTATTATGCGCCTAAGATTAATAGTTATCACAATTTAAAAGATATTATAATATAGAGGAGTCTCATAACAGGAAACTTTCCTCTGTAATTTTTATAACTATTAATTTTCGACGAATAATGTGAGATATTATATTAGTAGCCTACCTCATAACAGGGGACTTTCCTGTACGTTAATATCTTTGAAATTTGCGGAGTTCCTGCTATTATTTAATAGGCATTAATAATTTAATAGGCATCATCTGTTGGTTCCATGAATTTTATTGCCCTTGGAGTGAAATCTGTTTAGTGGGAAATTGATTGTTAGATCGTGTAATCGTTGCGATAAAAGATTTGTGATTGACTTTAGACGATCGAATAATATAGGCCTTTCCTCTAATACCACTGATTTTATAAAAGCGGTGTCTCAAAACACGAATAGTCTCTTGTTGAATTAATTCGCTTCTTTTTTTTATTTATATGTCACGTTCCGTATATTGGAAAAGTACACAATTTCCGAGACGTCTTGTAAAAATAAGAATAATCGCGACAAAAGTCGTACCGGTCGTTCGATTTCGCAGGACACAATCCCTGCGAAACGGCCAAGTGCAGCTTCTACGAGCAATGCGCAATCAGTCGGCAAGGGATCGCCAACTGCGAGTGTCGTCCCGAATGCGAGCCGGTAATGAGGCCTGTGTGCGCCCGCGGCGGAACAACCTACACGTCCATGTGCGAGCTGAAGAGACAGGCGTGTCTGACGAGGAGCAACATCGATGTCGCCTACGTCGGCACATGCGGCTCCAGGGGACCCTGTTCCGAGAAGGTCAGCCTCAGCCAGTAACTCACACACGGAAACGCGAGGCACCCTCGCGGTTTCCGCCTCCGCGTTTCCGCACACGGCGCGACGCGAGTAAAGCCAACGGCACACGATACTACTTTTCCTACTGGATTGCTTACGAGAGACAGGATTTAGCCTCGAGTCACCTGATCTAAAACTCTGCATTTTTATTGGTTCTCGTAAGTAATCCAGTAGGAAAAATATTGCAGTGCGCCATTGGCTGAAGACTCCTCGTCGGACTCACGGATTCACATTGTTTCGACGATGTGAATTATCGCTCTCTTCGAAAAAGGTGCCTCGCACCGCGGTTTTATCGAGAAGCATGGACATTTTATTAAATTCGACAAATTGATTAATTGAATAGGACGAAACGTAGAGCGCATCCAACGTAACTGCAGGTTCACAAAGTTTACAATAGAACATATATTCGTACAAAATCTGTCATATCGATGTTTGTTTTTCGATGAATACGAAGCGCAGCAAAATCCGAAATAAATTGTGCAAAAGGCAGAAAATGGCTTTTGACGATTAAAGATTTAGATCGTAAATTTGTGACGCTGACAGGGGTGATTTTCAGTTTTGTAAGAAAACGTGTTGCGAATTGAAGTGTCACGCGACTTAGCTGAATTTAAGCTACGGACGTCATTGGTCCACAAAACAAGGTTCGTAATCGATGCCGAGCTCGCTCGCGAAATGGAAATTGCTGGATGTATTCACCGCAGAAATTGGAAGGGATCAAGAGTCCGATGGAGTGTGGAGGGAATTTTCTCTCTTTCCACTATTTCTCCCTCTCGATACTTTCTCGATTCCCCGCAAAATTCGAAAGCCCGAGGTGAGATCTTCACCATTTCGACGAGCTCCTTCGCCAAAAGCAATTGTCGCTAATTGGATGACGCTGCGCCGGATATCTCTGTGGGAAAGCTAGTGGGTACTGGCACGGGAAGAAACGAGGAGAAATCGAGCTCGATGAATTTTCAGGAAAACATTCGTGTATTGAGTTTCTCGTCCTATGTATTTCTCATGAACGATTTTAGACCGCGATATTCTCGATACGGTCGGCAGACTTTCCGCCATCTGCTTCATTCTTTGTTTACATTTCCGATACATTTTCATTTAACTGTCTTCGTTTAAGGCAGTTTGAGAAGGATATTATAATATCAGCGTATAATCATCTAAGTTCTATAGACAAGTATAACGTCCAACAATCATTTTGCTCTCGGTAATAAAAATTTATCATGAGCGAATTAGCATAGAATCGTTAAAAGAATGCTTAATTAAAACACCGAGGAAACAAGTCCAATCGCGGACAGACATTGCTGTTCTTGCCGTGCAACGGTACATTGTATACAGTTCTATGTACAATTATTTGGTTCGCAGGTGTGTCAATGGGGTGCAATTTGCGCGGAAATCGGCGGCGGTGCTGTGTGCGAATGTCCGACTTGTCCGGCAGAATTTCAACCCGTATGCGGCGATGATGGCATCAGCTACAGCAACGAGTGCAAGCTTCGCTTGGAGGCATGTCAGCATCGACGGGAGATACGCGTTCTCTATCAAGGATTGTGCAGTGAGTACTACCAAAAATAAATTTAAACCGGAGCGCACGTCGCGATCGGTAATCACGAACTGATTAAATATCTCCGACTCTGAAATAGTAACGCGCGGAAAATAGCAGATACGGCTTCAAGTTTGATAATTCGATGAATTAATGATTTTCGCCGAATGTAAATGGAAATCTTTCTCTCCGCTTTAAAGAGAGAGTTTCTGGCATCTTTTAATATAACATAAAGGCAATGTAATAATAAGGGACAAAGCGACTGCGAGAGCGTTAAGATTGCAGCTCGTAGACTAAAAAGCCTGAACTGCTAATGTTAACTTTGGAGCAATTAAATTTTTCTCCTTTACCCCGAGCGTATTTAAATCTGAATTTTCATTTCCTAACAGCTTCCTTTGTTTCGCTTAATAATTTCGTGCCCATTCAATCGCCGGGCCCTTTTGTCGCGGGGAAAAATATATTGCCAGCAAGTTAATCTCTTAAACAGGGTCCCTTCGAAGGGTGTTTCCAATTAATCGCATAAAATTCTGAATTCCCAATCCGGCGGGTTGTGTCCCGCATTAAGCGCCCTTATCGGCACTAATATCGAGCGCGGAAAATAATTTCCAGCCCGCGGCGGGGCGTTAAGAGAACAAATCTGCGATTTTAATATGCCAGAGTGGTCGGACAGCAGGGGTTAATATACGGTCGCGTAACCGCCCCGGCAGCGGCGGTAACTTAAAACTTGCTACGACTAATTTGAATATCCGGCCTGGGTAAATTGAATTTATAACGGATTTCTGAACGATCTTAAGTAGCGCGGCGGCATGAAACTTGATTAACGTCGATGGCCTCGCGTGTTCCCCTAGAATTAAACATCGATCGGCCGTCCGTCCGTCCGCGCTTTTGCCTCCTCACGTTCGATATACGATGCGATAAAGCGCCGGCGACCGTAAAAATCGGCGCTGATTACAGAAAAGGAACGAATTGTAATCAGCGAACTGCGTCGAACGAGCCTCCCCGACAATGGCGACGCTCTTGCAGCCCTTAAAACAAGCCCGATTCAATTATTCTCCAAACGCTGTGATATCGTTTTATTAGCGTCAGCGTTTCTTCCGAGGATACGTATGACATGTGCCGCGTTTGATAAAGCTGTGCTCCGCGTCAGATACTTTCGGCGATACCACTCGTGCAGCGGAGCGTTTCTTTCCTTCCCGTTTCCTCCCTCGCAATAGGAATTCCGGACGATATCGTAAACAACTTCATGCATACTGCACTCGACGATGCATCACCGCGGCTGCACGCGAGCACGCGCTATTAATCTTCATTTTATTATTTTCTACGATGCCTTTAATAACGACGCCGTGCCCTCCGTCGAGCCCTGGGAGGACGGGGGAGAGCGGGAAAAAGGGGTGAGCGAGATTTCATCGACCGTGTACTTTACGACGTTGGCCCCTACCCTGCAATTTCATTCTTATTAATCCACCCCTTGCCCCTTCCGCTTTCCCTCGCCCCCTGTACCGCCTTCGATATTCCTGAACGAGCCACTATCAGGCCCGCGGTCTCAAAAGGACGCGAATTCCTAGGCGATTTTCCGTTCTGTGCGTCCTTTCGTAGCACTCGATGAATATCAGCGCCTCGGTCGCCTCACGATCTTCCGTTCGGTAAATTTTGTCATAAAGCATGCAATTCTGATTACAATCATAACGCGATTGGACCTTTCGGCTCGTCGAGTAAAATCTAAACGTCGCGTTTCTACGGGCACGAAGTTGGAGCTGTGGTAACATATGCGATTTTTAAAAATTTACAGCACAGTGCAAATTTACAAGACACGTATAAAATGTAACGTGTTTTTTTTTCTACGAAAAACTGAGGTACAAGTACAATTAAATTATTATAATCAGTACGCGGTAGTTACACGTTAAATATTATACCGTTAAATATTTATACTGGCGTTATACGTTCTCGAGAGTATTCTGTTAACAGTTAACGGTCGTTTTTTTTCCCCTGCAAAAATGGGGATATCGCCGCGATTAAACGAGAGGGAAAAAATGATTCGTCCTACCTCTTCCCTCCGGTCTCATCCCTTCGCTCCTCTTTATGGAAATCACTCGCGAATGAAGCGCTTTTCAGCGCGAAACAAACGCACGACTCTGTGTTGGAACTCAAGGAACGGTTGCACGATGTCACCCGGCGCTATTCATTTCCAATGCAAATCATCCAAACTCGCACAAACATTCCTTGATAGCCCTACGTAATCGCGGACGGATAAACCGTGTAGAGTGTTTAAAAATCACTAGCGAATATTTCGAAAAGGCAGGTGCAAATGTCAAATATTGAATGAAAATCATAAAATAAAGAGGTTAATTAGACTCCAAAAATTATGAAAATTGGAGACAAGGGAAAAGAATAAAGGCAATGGCAGCCTATTACCGGGGTTATTTCTTTAAAAAACATGTTTTTAATAAAGCCAAAAAATCATAGGTTAAATGATATACGTTGAAATCATATTTCTTTGAATCTACTAAATTTTTATTTGCTTCTACTAAAATATTTGCTTTGGTTTGAAGAAGCAGATATGAGTTCTCTTAAAAATTCCACTCTCGATCAAATAAAATTTTGGTTTAAGGTAAAGAACTCATTTCTTTGAAATCAAATAAAAGTCCAGTAAGGTCAAAATTAAAACAAACTTTTTTCTGGAGGTAGAATTCGATCCTCTTTAATAATAAATATATATACAAAAATAAAAATCATAAAATTATATATTATATTCATTATATATTCATGCATACATATGTGCGCGTGTAAAAATATAATTAATAAAAACATAATACGAACATACGCGTCCGACAAGATGTTAACAACCGGAGAGTAGGAGGAAAACGCGTGTAGAAACATAAATTAAGTAAACGTCGCCGTCGTAAATTAAACGGAGCAATCGATAAGATTGACCCAAACTTTCCGGACGCATTTCGTACGTACTCGTGTTTGCGTCTTGCGGCCCGACGCAGGAATAAACCGTAACATTTCTGATTTGCATCTTTATTAAAAAGTTGCACTTGTCAACATGCAACGCGGGACAAGCGCATTCCACTATCAGACGGCAGATTTATCAAAAGCCCCGCGCCGACGGGGATGCGTTCAAACAGCGATTCCATCAAACCAGTCAACCCTCCCGTCAGTCCCCCCCCCCCTTCGACTGACGGCTCTAAGGCTCGGAGAATATAAAATCGCGTACTCGCTAGAGTTAGTCTAAACACAAACAGTAATTTCCATCACAAAAATCTGATGAAATGGGATACCGGAACGAGGGTGGGTGAAAGTGATCTTCTCCGGAAAGGAGTATCTACGACGCGATGAAACCTATGCCAAGGTTTACCGAACTTTCTTCATAACACACGTACCTTCGGCGAGCGCGCCGAAAAAGATTACTTTGCTCTTAATATTGGGCGATCACGGTGGAATTACGTATCTGAACGCGTAGAGAAGAACGTAGAAACTGTTCCAATTAATTAAGAACGATAATTAAGTTTTGTAAAAGTTCGCAGTATCAACAGTTCATATATATATTATGGAGCATTATATGAAGTTTCCAAGTAAACTCAATCCATGATTTCTAGGGACGTGAAAATTTACACGGTGGAATTGATTATGAAACGCCAGGAGAAGTTTAGTATAATGTTTCTGAAAAGAATTTGTATGTGTATACATGCAAGTATATAAAATGTATAGACACTTTTTATATATTTCCTATTTGTTTCATACAAATGCATTTATAAATTTATGACATAAATATATATATATATGTATATATATATATTTCGTACTATACAGCCAGAAAAAAAGTTTGAATTTTGATCTTACTAGACTTTCATTCAATTTCAAAGAAATTCTTTACATCAGATAAAATTTTATTCGACTGAGACTGAAATTTCTAAGAGAATTCGTATCTCTTTCTTCAAATCCAGCAAATGTTTTAATAGAAGTAAATAAAAATTTGGTGGATTCAAAGAAATATAATTTCAACGTATCTCATTTGTTCAACCTAACTAAATCTTTTTTTCTGGGTGCATTGTACACTGACAGGCAGGAATGCCTGGACATTTCGATACCTCGAGATATCGAGCATTGCCAATCGGGCATATCATATCTAAATATTCGTGATCATATCTAAATATTCAAAACCCGACAACAGTGTCATGGAAATAATATGGAGATTATTTAAATTTGAAATACATTTTAACATATTTCAAACATATTTCAAAACATATTTCAAATATATTTAAATAATTTTTATATTATTTCAATAACACCGTTGTCAGTCCTTGTATAATCAACAGTCATAACGCACCAATATTTAAATATGATATGCCTGATTGGCAATGCTCGATATCTCGAGATATTGAAACGTCCAGGCATTCCTGCCTGTCCGCGTACACACATTTTATCCTTTTTTTTCAGGATTCAAGTACTGCTACTAAATTTCTTGACTCTTTACAATCGCTCCTATTATTTCCACATACAACAGAATTGACTATACGTAGAAATTTCATATGACGTCCTATAATATTCTTCTATAATAAGTTCGCAATGATAATAGAATTACGTGTTATCCGAGCCGGCGAAAGTTTCGGAGGACTCGCGACCTCCCGCGGATCGCGGGGCGAAAGAGGGAGGACGATTTCCATTACCAATTTCGGACTCGCATTAGAAATCGAGCGGAACGTGCCGTAGAATTCGGTCTCGTGCATCGCGGCGCCGCGCGGTGATTTTGCGACGTCTCGGTCGGCTGTTCCGCGGGGCTGGAATCATATGAGTTGTTACCCCGCGGCATGCACACTGCATATGCATGCGCTTCCTCGCGCGTTGCTTTTCGCCTCCCCCCCCCCCTGGTCTCATACAGCCCTCCGTGTACCCTCTCGCCGTATTTCCAGTCACGCTTCGCGCGACGATTCCGCGCGCTCGCGGTGTCCCGTTTTCAAGAAAGCCAGAGGGGAAGTCACCCCCGACTGCTTCTTCTTCTTTTGTAAAGACCTGTGTCCATGATGCTAGAACTTGGTCCAAGCAGCTTTTACGGAGTAGCTGCAAGTTGATTGGCTACACATTTCTCGGAACTAGAACTTGGACCAAGTTCCAGCATCGTGGACACAGGTTAAGATGGCTCTGGTCCTCTAGTCGAGTCTAGCGACTAGACTCTAGTCGAGTCCAAGTGAACCAGGGCTAGCCAATAGTCGTGAAATATCTCCTCTAGGTTTTGTCTTACGCTGCTTGTTAGCTGCTTGATTTCAAGGCACTATTAGTCGCCTCTTACGGCACGGTAGGCTAGCCGGATGATGTATTCGTAAGTGGATCAACACGCATCCACACCGTCGGCACTGTATGCAGCCATATTCAAGCTACCCCCGAGCCGCGAGTATCATCGACACGTCGACGGGGCGAATTCCTCTCTCGTATTCCCCCCGCCTTCGTCTTCTCCCCTCCAGTCGTCCTCCCACCCACGTCCGCCATGGATTTCAATGAATTCTAAAGATAATTTCGCGACTGGCAAGCCACCGCCATCGTTCTCTCCGCTCTTTCCGCCCTCCCTCGACTTCTGTCGGCTCGCGTTTCGGTACCACCCTTTGTCTAGACTACTCTTCTCTTCTCCCGGCCGCACCTGCCCACCCGCCGCTGCTGAAAATTCCATTCGAAACGGACGCCGTTATGCAAATACGCGCGAGAATCTTTATTAATGTTATCCTGAGGCGGTCAGAGGCCGGCCCGCTTCCGCCCGGGATGGTCAAGGGGTGGCGCGTGATTAGTGGCCCCAGCGAGTGTCACGAAACCGAAGGAATTTGTTGGTCTGCAATCTGCATTAAATCCACACAGACCCGCCGCATGGGATAACATAGATATTCAATCGTCACCGATCTGTTCGCAGATGGCTGCGAGAACAAGAAGTGCGAGTTCTACAGCGTGTGCGAAAGCGACAACGGCGGAGAAGCCAGATGCGTCTGTCCTTCAAAGTGCGAAACTTTGGTGAGTGGTTCTATAAAAGAAAAGTTACATTACTTGCAAAAAAACTAAAAAATCACTAACAGCGGTAATTAATTTTAACTCTCTCGCACGGTGCATCCTAGATGTTTTAGAATTATTGAGCGCGCGCAGAAAAAAAAGAATGCTCTTCTTTTGAAAATATGTTTAGTTTTAACATGAAAATCTTGAGATGAGATTTCGCGTTAAAGGAAGAAAAACTTACTTGATTGAAGCAATTTTATATAATTCGATCGAGAAAAATACATGCTTATTATTTAAGAATAACTTTCTTGAATGGAAAGGAAACTATATTGGACAGAAAATAACGTTTTTTCAAATCGGAGATTATAGTGATTAAAATGATTTTATTTTTTTGGAGTGACAATTATATTTAAATAAGACTGCAATATTGTTGGGATATAAGATTATTAAATGCTTCTAACAAGATTAGAGATTGTTGCGTCTAGTCTGGGAAAAATTATGACCGTTTTTTTCGTAGTTAAGCAACTTAACGTTTCGGTTAGTGCCTCTTACGTGAAAATTATCTTTGCGTTACTGAATATCGACAGAACTGATTGAGAGAATTGATTAGTGCTACTTTAAATTTGACACTTATTTTTTTTCTGTTCGTTAAACACGAAGACGTCTACATTGACGTTTTTCCGTATTTCTACATAATATTATATATTAATAGCGTCATCAAACGCGTTACAAATGCTCTAATGAATAACGTGACCAGGGGTAAATATATCAGGGGAGCACGTGACGCGCATTATAGAATATTAAATCACACGTTGTTCGGATCATTCAGAATTGTCATTTGCATTCGCGCCAGTCCGATCGCCGAAATTTTATAAATGTCGCGCCTGTCTTGTTTGCGTTTCTGCGAAAATATAACGTCGAGAGAAAGGGTTCTCGGTCCGAGATTGACAGCCCCTTGTGCTGTCGATAATTCCAAATTCAGTAAATCACTGCGTGCATTACGCCGTGTTCGCCGTAAAATATGTTAATAATTCTTTCAGATAAATAGGTGAATTAATTCGCACAATAGAGAGTATTTTATGTTAAAATCTGTTATTTTACATTGAAATCAAGTGATGCGGAATTAATTATATTTTGACAAAATGTATTACGCTCCAAAAAAATATTCCACATCCGTCCGATAAAGGACAATATAAATCGTATTATCGAACTTGTGAATTCATAACGCATCAATAGATACGCGCGTGTATTTCTGAAATCTTTTTAGCACACAAAGCAATGCTTAAATTATCAACGGAAACATATTTATCTCCTTCCGACGATCCGCCGCACGATTCCCCTTTTATCCCAACTGCTCGATAAATGGATCTTGCGATATCGATGTAATTAGCCGAAAGATGAGCATCAATTTTTCCGCTGTGAAAGAATGGATGTACGGAATGCGGTCACACGCTACAATCTCGCCGTCGTTTCGAGATACTCGTGGCGATTCGCCACGCCGAGGCTCGCTCGTTAGCGTAACCGACGTAAAATATTCATTCACGATGATGAATGTCCCGCTCGCGCTTGCACTCGTATATGCATTCTCGGCCGGCAGCGATATTTCGCGTTTCCCCGAGACCGTTCGATGTTGCGCGCCGTGCAAGAGCAGAAAGCCGCTTCGTTAAGTGGCGACGTGCGAGGGAAAGGGGAGAAAAGAAGGGGATCGAGTGCATTTGCATGCGCTATTTTCAGGACTTTCCATCAGCGGCGTTTCACGACGCGCGGCCGGTTTATTATATCCTTCTTCCGCGGCGTGAATGGCGTTTTCATGTTTCATTAGACAATAGTTAATGGGTCTCTCGCCGAAACGTCGAAAATTTCACCGGTGTCCCGAGGCGCGCCGCGACGCGACGGAGGAACAAACGCGCGAAGGAAGAAATTTAATTAACACTTCTTTCAGCCACGCGGCTTCGCCGGGTGTGGTCCGATGCGTTTTCATTCACCGCGGCATGAATTTAACGAAGGAATTACAAAGAAATTATATTGAATTACCGCTGTGATAATTATTTTCGCGACATGTACAGGACACTGATCGGTTGCCGTAAGAATTTACACGGCCGATATACGGAAAGAATGAACATTCCTCTTTTGAAAGTGTGTCTAGTTTCAACGTGAAAATCTTGAAATGATTTTATTAAAGGAAAACTTATTTGAATGAAGCAATTTTACATAATTCAATCAAGAAAAATATGTGCTTATTGTTTAAGAATAATTTTGTTGAATAGAAAGGAAACAAAATTGGATAGAAAACAACACATTTTTACATCTGAGATTATAACAAAATGATTTTCTTTTCTTGAAGTGACAATTATATTGAAATAAGACTGTAATATTGTTGGAAAACAATGAACGCGTTAATTTGAGTACGTAAGAGTTGATCTGACACTTCTTTTTCGATGTGCAAAAACAAGCCTTCGCGTCCAAGAGAAATCACAAAATGTACGTTTCAACGAATCTCTCTAGTTTCTCGCGATTTTTCAGATCCCCCCCTGTGCTTATATTATTCCCGCTAATAACCGCTTGATAGTAACGATTTGATGCGCGCCGATACATTAAAATCCGGTTCGTTTCCACGGAACTCCAATCTCCGCGGATTTATTTGCCTATCCCGGATCGATTTCCGATAAATAATTTTTCGTATCCGGTTGCACGCGCGGATATTACAGTTTCTCTCTCCCTATCTCTCGCCCGGTTTCCCGGCCCGTCATGGTGATCGTGCATTCAGAATGGAAAGCATGTTGGTTCATCAAGATAGCGGCTCCGCGAAAAATTCAGCCGATCTCGACGGTGATAGGCGAAGTGGCTTGGATTTCACGATTCGCAGAGCGTCCTGCTGACGAGACGGCGAACAATTCCGAATTCCTTCGATGTCGTTCCCGTGGCCGTTCGTGAGGAGACCTGGAACGGAATAAGGGATGCATTCAACGTCGGGGAAAAAGAGTCGGGAAAAGGATTAGATTGGCAGGCTTCGTGCCGTGAACCGGAGCGTTGCGGACGACTCCCGCAAGGTGCTCTTCCGGGAGAGAAAGTCCACTCGCCCAGTCGGTCACGGATGCTTATTGGCAAGTATCAGTGAGTCGACGACGCGATCTCTCTTTCTCTCCCTCTGCCCGCAATGGGAATTCCGGAAGTGGTGCACCCGCGCTGGAGAACAACGCGAGGTCGATTACGTGACCGATTCGGGGTCGCTTAAATTACCGGAATTACAATATTAAGCTTCCACGCGGCAATATTCGCGTTAGTATTTCCTAACTTTTTCTGGGAGGGTATTAGACGTTAAATACAGCATTTTAAATTATTAGAGATCGATTTAAATACCCGAATTTACTAACGACAATGATTCTATCTAAATAAGACTGTTATGTCTGAAAGTCAACCGACGCGCAGTAAAAATTTTCTTTGAATTTTGACCGTAGACATAGTACATGTAGACTGAGCCTCCTGTTGAATAAGCTGAAGCTGTTGAAGAAAGAAGATTTAAGAAGACTTTCTTTCTCTGTCTTGCACCATCGACTGTAAAGAATCGTGCCTGCGCAATACTACACAGGCGTGATTCTCCCTTGTTCAATGGGACGGGTCAGTCTATATTTACTATGTCTATGATTTGGCCCTTACTAGACTTTTTATTTATCTTCAAAGAAATAATTTCTTTACCTTGATCAAAATTTTATTCGTTAAAATTTTATTTGATTAAGACCGAAATTTCTAAGAAAATTCATATCTATTTCTTTAATCTAGCGAATGTTAGTAGAAATGAATAAAGATCTAGTAATTTCAGGAAACATAATTTCAACGCAGCTCATTTGTTTAACCTAAATAAATCTTTTTTCTGGGTGTAAGGTGGAAAACGGCACATGAATTCACAGATTAGATAACAATTTTTGGGCTACCCACGTTTTGCTCGGACATGTAAAAGCGCTCTCGTTTGATTTATATCATAATGATCCTATTTAACTCTATTTGTTTCAATACTTTTTTGCTTGGCAAATAAACGAGAGATCTTAACGGGTCGGTATCCTCGCGATTGTATCGCACAATCGGCGAAGTCGTCGCGATGCCATTTCGAATTAAGAGAGTTGATGACATCCGCATGATGGATTTAAGCGGATGGTTTTATTCCTAATTCGAGGCAGAATAATTGCAGAGAACAACGCGTCGGGCGCATACAATAATCCTCTTAATGAAACACGAACCACGGGGCCGCGTATGCGCGCGGATTAACCTCAGAAAATGAGCTGACTGACGTCAATTAAACTTAACAGGGAACCAACTAAATCGCGCGGACGTCTCTCTTTCCCTCTGTCTATCTCTTTCTCCCTTCCTCCCGTCGCGAAAACTTTGCCGCAGCCCGCATACCGGATGTGGCTGTATTTTGAACGGCCGTAATAATAACCATTGTCTTCCACGTGAAAACGGCCAAAGCCATACCTTCCTTTCGAATTCCAATTAGATCAAATGAATACTCTTTCCCGAATGTCTATTTGCGCGATTGTGTTACGTGAAATATCCCGGCCGGAAGACGCAAATGACTTTGTAAATAAATTACCAATTACTTCCGTGGCGGTTACCGCCCAGTAAATTTATTGCCAATTCAATTCGTTGCGATTAATTATGCTCTAAGCATTACGAATTTACCGCTATCCACTTTGATAATTGATAATTAGCAGTTATATTTGCACTTTGTAAATAGATAAGACGAAGACTGATTACGCGCATTCTGCCGTCCTAATCTAAAAAGCGGTATCTCCATTTTTTTGGCCACTGCAGTTAACTCACTTTCTATGTTTTTTAGAGAAGAAATCCGTTGTCCTACAGGGCCAGAAAGCAGTAAGAGCACTAGATTAACATAAAATAACTTACACGCGTTGCAGTATGCCCACAGTTTTTCGTGGTGGCCTAGCTATAAGAACTTAAATGCGCGGTTTCTCGAAACTAACAATTTAGGAGGTACTGCTTTCTAATAGCGAATTCGGTTGGTTGCACCAGTGCACACCGAATGCACACTAAGGCCTGCTTATAATCAATTTTTACATTTAACTTTGTCTTAAATATATGTTCAAAGAGTATTTAACTAAAAAAAATGATCCGTATGGGGATGCTATACAGATTCTTTTACTAGCTAAATATTTCACGAGATATTTAAGACGACCTTTAAATATAAGAATTGACTGTAAGCAAGCCTTAGTGTGCACTCACAAGGGAACGGCCGGAAGTGTCCCTCACCGATTTCGATGCGCTTCGGATATGTTGTAGAACATAAAAAAATATTAGACCCGTATTTTTTTAGCGGTTTTTCTCGACGTTCAGGGGGTAAAACAGCCCCTTGAAAATAACGGAGCTTTTCCATTTCTTATGAATATCTTCGAAACTATAAGGTTTATGAAAAAATGTTTTGGACAGAAGTCAATGCTCTTAAACTTGTGCGGTGAAAAAACTTTTTAATTTTGTAAAAATAATCCTAAAAAATGAAAAACATCCGTTATTTTCGAGGGGCTGTTTCACTCCTTAAACATCGTACAAAAACCGCTAAAAAAAATACGGGTCTAATATTTTTTTATGCTCTACAACGTATCCGAAGCGCATCGAAATCGGCGAGGGACACTTCCGACCGTTCCCTTGTCAGTGTGCACTAGTGCAAACAACCAAATGCTATAAGTTAGGACGGCAGCATTATGCCCGTATCAGACCAGCGACTCGCGACTGCGATTGCGATTACGTCTGCAATTGTGATTGGCTAGGTAGCCATTGAAATTTGAAACAGCTAATCATAATCGCCGATGTAATCGCGAGTCGCTAGTGCGATACGAGCATTAGTCGTATCCGTGTCTCGCTGAAGTCGCGCGTTGCATTTTCGTAAAGAAAAATCTAATCAAAGTCCAAATTGTTGCTGGCCGAACTGATTTTCACCGGGACACCCCGTACATGCGCAACTGACCAATATAACCGTGGCAACCGGCGAAGGGTGGCAAGTGCATGAAACGCGTGTGTAATAAGCAAACAAGAGGAGCCGCGAATATGACGGCCGGGCTAATTAAGTTTCGCCCTTTCCTATGCTATTGCACCGCGCGACCCTTATTCCTCCGCCGCCTGCCTATTCCCAGCCTCGCCCCACTGTCCGTCAAACGCACCCCTGCAACCCTGTATCGCGCAACAAGTGAGACACGCACTCCCTCTTCCTCTTTCAACCTCTACTTTTAAATTTCCTTCACTTTTTTCCCCCCATTTTATTCTCCGCGTTACCCTCTGCCGCTCCTTTGCCGCGCACGCGGTCCTGTTTCATCGCTTTTGGACGGAAATCCTCGTACCGTGTGAGAGAGAGGGCGGATGAAAGACACAAAGTGAATAACATATTCCTATTACAAAGTTATACGTGTATGTATATATTCTTTTAACGTCCACGTCGCACCTTGCGACGAATATTGCGGAGCGAAGGTGTCACTTTAAGATAAAATTCTCTCAACTTCACATTGCCGTAAACGATCGCATTTATTGTTGCAGTTAAAGTCAAATTTGTAATTGTGCGCAGGTGAAGGAACCGCCGGGGGCGGAAAAAGTTTGCGGATCCGACGGCGTGACGTACGATAACGAGTGCGCCTTGAAAAGGGCGTCGTGCACGAACCAGACCCTCATCAACATTAGCTACGTGGGTGACTGCGGTAAGCGGCGTATATTACGTGCCTTGTAAATACGAACTAATGCAAAGAGATCCAGATGCATTAATACCAAACAGAACCACCTTTCTATCCTTCCGCTTCCACTGCGAGAAATAGTTACAAATATAATACATTACATGTAACATAATAATTTGGATACATACATGTAATAATATTGGCAATACCGATTTGCATTAATAATATTAATGAAATTTTTTAACAAGAGTAAAAACACGCTAATAAAGGCTGCTTTCCTTTTAGACGACAAAAGTTACACACTCGAGCACAGTGTACCACTGTAAAATGGCAAAGATTTACAGAACAATGGATGTCTAAATCTCCGTTTTTAATTTAATATCGTTGACGTAATATTTGTAAGTAAAAAAAATGCATTTGGCTCGCGATCTGACTGATTTCATGTTGCAATCGACACATTTTTAAGTTGCAATGTCCTCTGAAAAAACTTGTAGACTATCAAATTCCTTGAAAAGGACCACGACCCGTATGCTCGAAACGTCGGAATCAAACAAATGAACCACCAGCCTAATGTCGTCTAACAAGTCTGTACTGTTAATTAACTACTGGCGATTCACATTCTTTCGTTGTTACAGAACAAGATTTTAAGAAAAGGTTCGAAACGAGATTGTATCGAAATACGCGGAGCGGATGCGGGCTTCGATGAAAAACCCACTCCGACTCTCCCCCCGAGCAGAGTCGAAAAGCTTCGATTGAGTTAAATTCTAAATGGAAAGCGACACATGTCGATTTGTGTCGAAAATGTCGACTGTGTTCTCTAAAAGGAAAGCAGCCAAAATTGACTTGCACGTTTTCTCGATAGTAGATTTCTCGATCGCTTGAAGACTATATTTCCCTGAACGTATAAACAGCGTGTGTACATACCCTTTTGAAAACTACCCGACCACATTGTTTTGGAGATCCAGAATTTGTAGCACTGCGAGCTAAGGAACCTGAATGCTTTCCAGAAATGTGCACGAGGGTGAAGTGCGATCACGGGGCGCATTGCGTGGCGGGTGTGTGCGTGTGCCCGAAGGTCTGTCCGGAGAGCAGCGGCGAGCTTGTTTGCGGTAGCGACGCGAAAACTTATCAATCCGAGTGCGAGCTGCAGCGCGCGGCCTGCGGCAGGGACCCCAAGTTGCCGGCGTTGCACGTCATATTTTATGGGGACTGCGCCGAGAGATTGGCCGCGGCGGCGTTGAGTACGTTACCGAAATTATACACCCGCCTCTTATGCCGCGCGATTCCCACCTGCCGGGACATCCCTTCGCAATTGATCCACGCTTGCTACCGGCGCGAAACGCGTCGATTAAAAACTTTAATGGCGGCAATGCGGCCGCAAAACTCGCAAGCGTATTTTACTCGCGTTTCAAACTTTAAGATAGCCGAGGCCGTCGCGTTAAAATGTTTAACACTTGGAGATACTTGGTGCGCCCGAGCGTCTCAGACCGTGTAATGAAAAGCCACTGTGGCTTGACAACGAGTTTGGGCGTTTGACGTAACGCGATCCGCAACTCCTTTGAACATAACGCTCGAGGCGCGAGGCGCTTATAAAGTTCCAAAGACGTTTAGACATCTCGCGCACGCCTCCTCTGTAATCTTCAGAAGTTGCCGTTCCCGTATACAAGGCGCTCGTAATTGAAAATAACCCGGGACGGTCGCGATCAGCAGTGAGACGCTTATCAGAGCCACCGGGGTCCTCTAATGCTGATCCGGGTCGCGTTAACCGCATGCCGTTAACGATTTGCCTCCCTGCCTAACACGCTCTAAACTGCTCTAACCGTCGCCTTCTAACCGCTTTCTAACAGCGACCAAGTCGACGCCCGCGGTGACTCGCGTGGTCACCACCGTCGCCGACATAACCAGCACGCAGGAGCGCGAGGCGTGCAAGGACATCCACTGCGACTTCGAGGCGACCTGCGAGCTCGGCCCGGACAAGTTTCCCAGATGCAGCTGCAGATTCGACTGCGCCGCCATCTCGCCGGAGAACATGCGGCCCGTCTGCGGCAGCGATCTCAGGATCTACTCCTCCCTGTGCGCCATGAAGATGGAGGCCTGCCAGAGGCAGCAGGAGCTCAGGCTACGACCCCTCGACCTCTGCCAAGGTTCGAAACCCTCGAGAGAATCGGTCGAGACTGACGCAGCTGTCCTTTAACAATGAACCTCCTACGCTTTTCTCGCGCTTCTCACTAACGCACTTAAATTTAGTCAATGTAGTCATTGCTTCGACCCTGTAAATCAATATGTTCCAAGAATCTCTCTGCTCCCACGCAGGCATGGAAGTCAAGCCTTGCAACGGCGACCCCCCACTGGTGGACTCCGAGGGCAAAGAGTACGACTGCGGTAGTGGACCAGAACGTAAAGACTGCCCTAGCAATACTTACTGCCATCAGACAACGCGATTCGCACGTTGCTGCAAGAAAGGTCAGCGAGAAATAGACTCTCTGCCCGATACCCGCTTAATATCTAATGTGTCTGGCTAGCCGCCAATTCCTTGTGCACGCGCATCCGAATATATTGCATTAACGTTCGTAAAAGTTACAGTCGATACATTACGGTTTAATATTCCCCGAGAATGTTGCGTTCCTCAGGAGACGCGAGTCCCTCGACCGCAAGCAAGTTGCGCCGCAGGATCAACGTGTCCTATAAGTTTCCGCGACGCTCACGGGCTACGTGTCTCTTTCAGTTCACGGTATCCAGGTGGTAAAGTGCGCGGACTCGTGGCACGGCTGCTGCCCGGACGGGAAAACCGCCGCGCTCGGCCCGGACGGCGCGGGCTGCCCGAGTTTATGCGGTTGCAACCGGCTCGGCAGCATGTCCGACACCTGCAACCCGGAGACCGGTCAATGCGAGTGTAAGCCGGGTGTGGGCGGCCTCAAGTGCGATAGGTGCATGCCGGGTTACTGGGGCCTGCCGAAGATAAGCGAGGGTCATCACGGATGCATACGTAAGATTGAGATCAGTACACGCCACCGATTCACCGAGCAATCATTTCACGCGGATGATGTAACGTAGATGCACGCGCACAGACAGTGCGTTGTTATCACGGACGTTTGCGTTAAATATATTCGTTGTGGAGCACATTTCTCTCGCATAGATTGAAGTTTGGAAAATGGAATTCCGGACTACACGGCTCTGTTTCATTGTTATCAATCGTTGATGTATACGTCAACGTGTTAGTCGATTGATTGCCCGTGGAAAATTAATATCAACTTTCCCTCTTTGAACGTAGCGTGCGGCTGCTCGCTGTTCGGTTCCGTCAGGGAGGACTGCGAACAGATGACGGGACGTTGCGTCTGCAAGCCTGATATCCAGGGACAGAAGTGTACGATCTGCAACGACCACAACAAGATACTCACGCCTATCGGCTGTTACCCAGGTATCACGTGTAATAATAACGATTTCCATCCACCGGAATGTACGAGAAGTGCCGATCAGTGACTTTAATTACGATCCACCGCGAACTCTTGTAAAAGTTAAATCAGAAAGTCAAAGGACAACTTGTTATTCCAACTTGTTCCAACGTTCAAACGTGAATCGGGTCGAGCCCCCTAACTCGCGCGTCGCCCTAACTTGCCTCGCGTCAAACGCCATTTGCCCCTCGACCGTCCAAGGTAACGTTTTAAGGTCGGCGCTCGAGGTAGGTCGGGCCCGACGCGCTCGTGCCGTCTCGCGACGACGACGCCGTAATTTTATTAACGTCGCGCTATAATCCGCTTTGCTCCGCAGCGGACATGAGACCGCCCGTGCCAACGAGCTGCAACGAGATGGAGTGCTACTCGGGTGGCCACTGCACCGAGATCGGCGGCGCGCACTGCGTCTGTCCGTCCGCCTGCCCGGCGGATGTGCCGTCCGTGCCGGTTTGCGGCAGCGACGGGCAGACCTACGACAACGAGTGCGAGCTGCGGCTGTACGCGTGCGGCCACCAGGCCGACGTGGTCACGCAGGCCTTCGGCCACTGCAGAGGTGGGTTCACTACTGAACGTATTCCGCCGAACAGGTCGCTTTACGTTCTACGCTACTGAGAGAGAAATACACATTACACACGGCCCCCATAGGCACGTTCGAAAATCGCGGACGGCCGCGGCTTCCAACGGGAACGTATGCCCCTTAGAGAGGAGTAGTTAGATAGGCGGAAACCGGTGCTCGTAATTCGTAGTCGAGAAGAATACGCCTAATTATGTGTAGCGATGTTAACAGAGGAAAACGCGTCGGTGGTAGGACAAGGCTAAATTTGCAACGATAAACGTACGAGAGGAGAGAGATAGTCTAACGTATCGTGAAACTAGTCTCCGAAGACACGAAATTGCGGCGTGTTGTTATAAATCGAGTTGCTCCAATAATCTCAATTAATCTGTGACTTGGCGACTCGTTCTGTAAATCAATCGGGTGAATTTAGCTGACCAGATTTAGGACCAACAAATGCAATCGTTTAGCTCAGGAGCCGTGCGGGAAAAGTAAGATTTGTACAATAGGGAAGAATTTAAGGATACGCAAGAGTGTTTGTTATTGTCGAACGGTGATCTCCTTCGAGAACGACTTGGTAGAGTCGTGGCCTAAAACTGTTGGACGGCCGCGCACAACTCTGTGGCATCGGTTCATTACAATTTAGATTGTTCGAATAGAGAACGTTGTTAATTACGAGAGGCAACGGCGTCAGTAAATTGTCTCTTCGGAGAAACCCGAGTTGAAATGAGAAAAACAGCCCTGGCTTGCCCTAGAAGAACTAACCAGTAGTCCACTTTGTATATCCAAACGTTATAATAAACTCATCAAGTTTCTACTAACATGTATATATATGTTTGTAACCCCCGCACCCGCACAACCGGAACGACCGCAGCTACTACTTTGCTTGCTTTCTTAATCAACCGCACGTCCTCGTCGTTTTCGTGAATAACACTTGTGATTAATGTACGAATTGCGGCGGATACAACGCGAATACGACGGCCAGGTAAATCGAGTAGTAAATCGAGGAAGAAAGGAAGCAAAGTAAGCGCATGGGCTTGCGTTCAAATCGATACGGATTCGCAAGATATTCCACTCGACGAAATGATCGCATGATTACTGCAATCGCCGGCACCAATGTTTTCGACTAAGACATACAAAGTGATACCAGATTGAAACGACGCGTCTAAGAACAGAAAAATTAACAGAGGAGATGGTGTACAAAATTAATTATTTCATTTAATTTATACAATTATTTTGTTTCCATTAATAAATTTTTAGAGAATCACACGCGCGTTCAAATATCCGTACGTTTTGTATACTTGGCTCGCGTTTCTCGAGGTTTGTCACTAGCCTGTGAATCGCGCGATGATCTGTCGCGATTACTCGAAAGTGATACCGGCGGCACATCGAGAACGTAGGTGTGCAGCTGGTTCCGCTCGGTCGGAGTTAAAACAGCCCCGGAGGTGCACGACCAGCGCGTTCGCACATAAAGAAAGTTGGCGAACGTTAACTCGCGAAACTGAGCGAGCGCCGAAGGTGGTTTTAACTAAATCACCGCGGACTTCCAGCGTGATCTTGTCTTAAGTGGCGCCCGTGGGACGTGTCTCCAGAAGAGAAGAACCGACATCCAGAAGGGTAACTGGCGGTGGTCCGGCGGTGGTCCAGCCGCGAGCATTAAACCCGCGTGACTCGCATAACTCTCTCACCCCTCCCCCTCGCCCCCTCGCCGCACAGAGAGACACGGCCGACCAAGTTTCATCCGAAATTGTCAGTCGTGAGAGTTTTACTCGATATTTCCCCGCCCGGCATTATTTTCTTCGTGTGGGAGGGAATTAAAAGATCTCGGTGAAAGATATCGTCACGCAGGGAAGGTTCTTTCGTAATTATTAAGAGAAGCGATAGTGACTACGTGTCCGTCGTTGGTCTGGCAAGATCTATGTAGCGTACGATAGTCTGCGTCTCGAGAGAAGACGCGAAAGGTAGCTTGATGCAAGGGTGGCACCCCTGGCCTATTCGTTTGAACCTCTTTGTTACCGAACTGCAGAATTATGTTGTTCCCCGAAACTGGGAGTTTTCCCGCGTGATTACTTCGGTACCGCGTAATCGATCGTCTCTTCCCGCGGAGCCGGCGATAGATGTAACGAGCGTACGCATCATTAGCGAGAGTTCCTCAACTAATTACAAACAACCCTGGAGAGGAGACGCCCGCGATCGCGATCTAATTTCGCGGACCGTTGATTATTCCGGCATTAATTTCGGAGCCCGACTCAATCAGACCGGCGGATCTAGCCCGCGCTGCGATAAACCGCGCAAAAAGTACGGAAGAAAGGGAGATCCTCCTTCGCTCTCTCCCGCTTACCCTCCTCCCTCGCACTTCTCAAGATATTCCGAACCCCTGACGAAGTTCGCGGAGCGAAACGTCGGAATCTATTAAAGTCTCTCGCTCGCCCCGCGAGCCCCGACCCCTTATTTTCGATTGCTCAGCCTCCCTCCCCCGTCCCCCCTCCCTTGCCCACCGTCGCCACCCTCCTCACTTTCAGCCGGTCTGGGCTCTCTCGCTGAAAGTCAATCTCTTAAAAAGTTCTTCTTCGGGGCTCGTCCTCCGGAGTCAAACATAAATCAGATTACGCCGTCTTCGCGGATTCCCTCTACCTCTTCCTTTCTTTCATCCCCCCCTCCCTCCACTGTCTCTCGTCTCTCCTCCTCGTCGTTCCTCCTCTTTCTCTCAACTTCGTTCTAGCAGTTTCGTCGAGTGCACGTCGACTCCGGCTGGCCACGGGGTTCCTTACCGTTCGATGTACTCTTCTTGTTCGCCTCACCCCCCCGTCAACGCGCAAGATCGAAGTTGACGATGGCAGGAGGGTGGAGGGAAGGGGGAGGGTAAATGACAGGATGATGTGGATCCTGGACGCCGGCACTTTGAATCCTGGTAAATAATGTATGCCGTGATTTCTTGTGACGGCGAGCTCCTCGGGCTTCCTGCGCGAAAGAAGACCCGCCGTGCCGTGGAATATCCCTCCGGAGGATCCTGTAGACGGCGCGTGGCCGCCGGATGTCCTGCAAATGTGCGATACGCTTGACGCAAGCGCGACTTACGATCATCGCGTTACTATCGAAAAGCGGGAATATCGAGGTCGCGAGGTAACCCAGAGGATGACGGCGGGCAGATCACGGATGCGATCGACGAGTTACCCTTTCGCGGGAAAATGTTTACGTCGCCAGAGGAACGCCCTGAAATAAATTGCTACCGAGAGACGCGATAGATCGATATAACAATGTAGGGGTCATTGTAATCCGTACGCGTGGAAATTTGAGATAGTTCGATAAATTGGATGAATATTGAGTATATCTTTTAGCATTAAAAGCCCGATGAGGAAGCTAAAACCGTTTATTTCGCGAAACAGCATTTCGGTCTAGAGGAAGTTTGCAAATTTGTGAGAGGATACCAAAGAGTTCAACAAATACAAATCAAGAACAGGCTGTGCAAGTAGCTTGAGAACGACAAAAATTACTTCCCAAACAACACGCGTGTCTAAAAGACGACTCAAAGAGGTCTTGAAGATGTCTTTTAGACATGCTTGCTATATGGGTTGCTAAGATCAGACCTGTCCTCACTTCGAACGAGCTTGAGCTGAAATTGCCACAAATAGTGGAACAGGTCAAACTCATTCCAAGTGAGAATAGACTAGACCTTAACAAGTAATTTTGTATTTCTTTTATATTGGATAATATAAGTCTATCTATCTCCAGCCTATCTCAGTCTACCGCTGAACGTAGGCCTCTTCGAAGAGTCTCTACGCCTGTCAACATGGTTTTTCTGGATTGACATATTAAAACGCCACGCTTGCCAGGCTTGATAAACGCTATTGTTGCCTACCAGGAACAGACTCCCTGGCTTTATTATTGAATTATTATTGGACCCTCCTCTATGTATGTAGAGGGAGCAAAATCCCTGCAGGGAGAGATTAGTGATTCTTTCTGAGAGGTGGCGATCGAACAAAAACCGATAATTTCTGGTCGGATTTAAACTCGGATCTTAGGCTCGTCAGAGCAATTCTCTGCGCCACGTTTGCTTTAATTCGCTGTTATATGTATATACACATTCTATTAAGGAAGAAATGGTAAACCCGTCGATTAAATCTTTTGGCAATCGGTCGATTTCCTCAGCTTACGTTTTCAATTGGCGACACGTGGCGTGCGGAGTTTTAATAAAGCAACATCGGTGGACTCTTATCAGATATCTAAGCATATTCTACATTTGATAAAAATACCCGTCAGCGGGAAACGGAAGAGATTCGCCGATCGTAAAACGTCGGCTCATATTTCCGTGTCGTATCCCGCCGGTCGAGTTCCTCGTCCCTTAAATGGACTGAAACGGTTCCGGAGAAAGAAGAAAGCCAGGAATATTTGCAGAGACAGTGCGCGTAAACGATAAAAGCTCGTTCCCGTAGCGGAAGTAAATAAACGAATCGATTATACGGAGACAAATAAGCGGGTCGTTGGATGCGCGGGAGTTCGGCAAAAGGAGAATTCAGAACTCAAAGAGAGAAAGAGAGAGAGAGAGGGAGACGGGGAGAGGGTGGCGGGCGATTGTTGAGAAAAAAATAACGGAAGTTCTCGAGCAATAACTGGAAACAACGCGGCAATTGGAAAGTAATTAAAATCCCATTAAGGTCGCGCTGCGACTCCTGTTAACAGTTTCGCGTTACGCCGTGCCGATAGAATTAGCTTTTCGATTTTCATTATTTAGAGGAGCGCCGCCGTCGCGTCGTCGTCGTCACGTTCATCCTCGGGCGTTCGAGACGTCGGGACGGCGCGAATCCCTTCCACGCAAATAGAAATTGAGATATAATGGAAACAGAATAATTTAGCAGTATATAATAAACGGATAATTTTATAGGACGATTAGATCTATAAATGCCCTGTTAATATATAACCAAGGGGTCTACCGCATTCGGTAAATAGGTGTACAAATTTTAGGCAGTAAACGGCATTAACAAGGCAATATTGGAAAATAAGTTTTACTTAACAAGAAATTTTCAGCTGTTCTAAACGATACAAGTACCGACTTACATAGACAGTGTAGGAAATAAAGATAACTGCACAAATTTATTGCCAGGTTTCGGCAATAGGTGTGCACTTTTTTGAGATGCGATAAACCTCCTGCATAGAACATATATTATATATAAAGTTATCGCGGTTATATAACTAATCTGAAGCGTCAGAATCTAATCTGAAGAGAAAGTTAATTGAAAACGCAAGTAAAAACGCGACACTTGCGTAGGAAGATACAAAGAATACGATATCTTAAAACCTTAGCATTAAGTAAAATATCCCACTCATCATTTCTTCGACTAATTCGATTTTATAATTTCCACGAAGCTTCGTGCAGCATTCCTTCCATTCCTTATAAAAAGAGGAAAAGGGAGGATTTGCTGTATTAAAGCTAGAAAATGAAAGATTGCGTTTATTCGTATTTATCTCGGTATAAAGAATGGCATTTTTAAAGCAAGCCATTCACAAAGATAAGAAGGAGAAAAAGGAATAGAAACCAGTAGCGAGATTTAGGATGCAACTCCTGAAACGATTCTTAAATTCTTCTTAAAGCTTTCGGATGTAGCTTACAAAATTGCAACTTGAATCATTATAGGAAATTCAACGGGCGACTTCTTCTTCCGCTGACATTTTTCATATGCGCGAACGAAAATGTAAATTGATCTACGGGCTCAAGCGAAAATCAATAATCCTAAATTGCGATCTCGTAATTTTTCTACTCTTTGCGTTCAGACTTTGTTTTGTTACGTAACCTTTTTTTATTATAAAAAAATTGTGTGTTACAATTCTACATCACGTTCATTTATTCACAAAAGCGAAATGAAGAAATCAATTATTTTTATAAATTTTTTTCCCTCTGAAAAGAGACCGAACTTTTATCTCGAAATTAATTAACAGAGATCCAAGCAGAGGGAAAACTTTTCTCTATTACAGTTTTATAATTATATATATATATATATATATATATATATATTCATAGGTGTCACCATCGTTATAACTTTTAATGAGAAAAATGGATTATTTCTTTCTTTTTTATGTAATGGAATTTTTCATACACCACGTATACACATGTACACACGCATAGCACGCAGTGACAAAACGCGAATCCTGTTCGGTGAAAAATATTGTTATATTATATTACACCGATCAGAACCGTCTTTTATACGAACATAACTGAATTATAATCAAGGCTTATGACCGATTTTTTTACTAATATGTTCTTTATCTCATTGCGTGTTGCTTGTATATTTTCTATTTGTAGGCTCTCCAGAATTTTTTGTTTTTAATTTTTCTCTTCAGGCGCATGGATAAAATGATATATCTAATGTCTAATAATAATCGTTTCTTTCCCATTTATTTTCGTTATTGTAGATAAAGAAACCTTGTTGAAAAGAGAACGTTATAATAATTATGCTTTTGGTTACGAGCCTTGAGATGAATAAATCTCCCGATGAAGAACGTAAGAAGGGAAAATAATGGCAGAACGGGTATTCACGTACATTTTCAGACGATCCTATGGTTAATACGGACTTCCCCGTTAAGAGATATACAGCCGTACAGTATACTCAACCAGCGGCTGCCATTTCTCCATTGTCCAAATCCACGCGGCATCTCTTGGTACCGGAACCGGACCCACGATATTATTACACCCACCGAGCTCATCAAGAAACCATCACCATCGACAGAGATAACTTAAAACACGGTAAAGAGGAAACGTTCCCTTCTAAGAGCTCTTTATGAGCTACACCTTTTCTCGCGCATTTTTTTCTTTTAAAAAAACGAGAAACAAGCGAAAAGATTTAATATATCTTCGGGAAAATGCCTGTAACTTCCCGAGTCTATAATTTTTTTCGAAGATTCCAAGATCTTCAAAATGTGAAATCTTTGTACTGGAATAATTGATGATTAACTAGATTTTATGTAATGTCGTGCACTACTTCATTAACCTTATTATTGATTTATTGTTAATTGTGGATTAACACGATCAGGATGTTAATGCTTTAAAACTGCTTGCATTGCTTGAAACGTGAATACTTGACAAAGTGAAAATTGCAGAAATTCATTTAATTCTACATCTCGATATTAAATCATTTAAACTCCACTAAGCATCTGCTCGCAGAGTTCAACGAAGCAGTTCAATAAACTAACATTAGTTCAATGAACTTTTGTATATATAGTATTATATTTGTTGATAAAATTATCAAAATCCACCAATTGTATCAAATCAAAATAATCTTAAGAAATAATTTCGTCTCAAAGTATTTGACAATTTTTTAATTAATGGTTTTCTGAGGAAAACTCGAATTGTTGTTAACATTTTATGTATCTTAGTAATAGAAAATTTAACTTTTATAGGAGTGGCCGCGGTATATCGACCGACACCGGCGACGATTCGAGTAGTCACCGCTCTACTAGGCGATCTCTGCACCGATGACAAGGATTGCACTATACCGAACAGCGAATGCTCAAACGGCGGTTGCATTTGTTCCGAGGGCTATGCGGAAACCAGCGATCGGCAGGAGTGCTTCGGTAAGACAGAAAGGCTCGATCAATCACGCCTAATTATGATTCTTCACAAAATTGAATTGAATTTTTCACGTAAAGTTTTCTACCGACTAGGTCTCAGCTTAACGATTTTCAATACTTATTAGGTAACACATTTCTTTCAAGGTCAATCAGACGAGTAATGATGTATAAAATTAATATTGAGAGATTTACTTAAAGAACGTCTCAATCCCGACTTCTAATTCCCCGAGGTCTTTTGACGTTCAATCGCTCAATCGCTCGATGACTTGTCAACATTGTCAGTAATTAGATGAAGATTAATTTTCGCTTAATCATTTATCAGCTAATTACGTGCCGGTGACACCGACTCAGGAATTTCGCGCGTGCCTCTCGTATCCCTGCCACATGACCTCGACCTGCATCGACTTGCCCAGCGCAACTTTCATCTGTATCTGCCGACCAAATTACACCGGGCTTCTATGCGACGAGGAGATCAACAAGCGGGATTACGAGATACCCTCCTTTGACGGTAAAAGCTACGTCAGGATGAACCGACTGAAAGCATATCACAAATTCAGCATCGAGGTCGAGTTCAAAACATATGCGGACAATGGAATCATATTGTATAATCAGCAGAAAAACGACGGCACCGGCGACTTTGTCTCGCTCGCCATCGTCGATGGGTTGGTACCTCTTTTATCGCGATCACTTCAAAAATATACTTTTCGAAGGCAACAGACAAACATATAATTCAGTTTCACCTTGTGTTTCAATTTCGAAATGCCTACGAGATAATTTTATAACATATTTTACAAATTAAGATGCAGTCAGCTGTATAGAATCAGTTTTACGTAATTGTTTGCTAATAATAAGCGACGCGAAAACGTAAAAGCTTCGCTGTTGATCTAATTAATGACTGGTGTATCTAATTTAGTGCTCATGAATACGATTGTGTGCTCCAGATACGTGCAGTTCAAATATAACTTGGGAAATGGACCAGTAGTGCTCACGTCACCGGAGAGAGTGACCATGAAGACCTTCCACAGAGTGGCGGCTAAAAGATATCATAAGGACGGAGTGCTGATTTTTAATGAAGGCGAAGACGTGGCCGGACAAAGTCAAGGGATGCTGAAATCTTTGGACCTGAACCAAGATACTTTCATTGGAAACATGCCGACTAATTATACCAAGTAATATTTGCAAACGCTGTACTGTTGGATGAAAAAAATTAGAAAATTTCCTCGTACGCAGTTTCTAATTTTTCCAAATTTGCACAATTTTTTATGTATCTTCTAAGATCTTAGACCTTAAAAAGATGATATCTCAAGGATTGTCGTATTGATTTCAAACTCTGCCAAGTAGTGTTGCTCATTTATCGCTTTGAGCGAGAAAACTTTCTTAACCAGCGTTCTCTTAATGACAGATTTAAATGCTAAAAATAAAACACGCCTAAACAAGATGATGAATTTCTAGGGTCTATGACAACATCGGTACCAGCCATGGACTTCTCGGCTGCATACGCAAGCTAAAAATCAATCGGAACAACATAGATCTCCACGTGGGCCGCGACAGGGACGTCCTTGAGAGTTACCGTGTGAAGGAATGCGGCGACAACGCGTGCGCCAATCTGCCCTGCCAGAACGGTGCGACGTGCCAACCGATCTTCGAGGAAGACCTGTGTAACGGCCGGGATTGCAGGAGATTACAGAAAAGGGGTAAAAGCAGGAACAACAGAGGCGGCAACGGCAAAAGCGTCGGGGTGAACATAGTCAGATGCAGGGGTTCCCACTGCACGTCGATCGACCAGAAGAGAACCAAGAAGAACGTGAGGAAGGGCGATTACGATTCCGAGCTGCAGTACGAGAAAAATTACGACCACGGCAATTACGCGGTGGAGAAGTACGAGCCGCCGGACTACAGGTGCATATGCCCGCCGCAGTTCACCGGCAGGAACTGCGAGGAATCGCTGGACCCGTGCATCGGCGAGCCCTGCCAGAACGGTGCCACTTGCGACATCCTACCGCAGGGAGGATACGTGTGCAAGTGTCCGCCCGGTCGAACCGGCGACCACTGCGAGATCTGTAAGTACAAACAGCATTCGATTTTTGAAAGAAGAAACCTTGTTTCTCTTTCGTAATGTTAGAAGCGATATTAATTTTCCAAGGTAGCCTCGCAAGTTATTTTATAAATTATATTTATATTTTTAGTGGACGCCGAACTGACGGAACTGTTGATTCCCGAGATGAACGGGAATGGATATCTGGAGCTGCCCTGCTTGGAAGGTGTCGCGAAAGCGTTCTCCATCGAGCTATGGTTTCTCACACGCGCGAACGACGGTCTCCTGCTCTACAACGGCCAGCTGAACAACGGCAGGGGCGACTTCATCAGTCTGAACCTGATTCACGGCAGGCTGGAGTTCAGATTCAATCTCGGTAGCGGCATCGCGAACATCACGTCGCCGGATCCGGTCAGTCGAGATATGTGGCACTGCGTGAGGATCAACAGACTCGGCAGAGAGGGTGTCCTCCAGCTCGACGATGGAACCGTCGCCAGAGGATTGTCCGGGAGTCCTCTCACGGAAATGAACCTCGAAATGCCGCTTTACGTTGGTGGCGTCAAGTGAGTCATTTTCGTTTCAATTATTGTCTCGAAGTTTTTATTTCTGACTCCAAATTTCTCATGCTTTTGCGATCGTATTGTTGGGTTTGTAATAGAAACGTCATCCGTCATATGTATATCATAACGTACACTTGATTTGGTGAAAAAGCAAGTTCATGTTTTTGATATGCCGATCTGAACAACAAACGCTGATTGTTTGCTTCCATAGACACTGGCGAGAAGTTCATCGCCTGTCCGGGGCTTGGACCGGATTAGTAGGTGCCGTGCAGAGACTAATGGTAAATGGCAAAACATATCAGAACCTCGCCGTGAATGTTACTCAACACAACACGGAGATTTACGATGGTCTGCCGTGTCCCAGTAACGAAAACCCTTGCCACAACGGCGGGGTCTGCCTTCCGCTCTTGAACAGTTATCTCTGCAAATGCGCTAACGGTTACAACGGCTTGCATTGCGAATTCTGTAAGTCTCTTCCACGCAATTTCATCATTTCTTATTATATAAATCTTTCTTCGACTTTTCTGTACGTATTTTCCTCATTTCTCTTTCCTACAACGATTTTTTAAATCCGTTCATGATTAAATTTGATTTCTATTTACGATATTAACAGTCGTAGAAATATATACGACGTAAAATAGATTGTTTAAATAATGATAGATGATATATTGTTTTAATAATAATAGATTGTTTAAATATTACGTACATTCTACCGTTAAAGCGTTAAAATATATTTCACCTTGTTAATAATTAATTACATGGTAAAACATGTGTTGAGCACAAATGTCTCTTTCAGTTATGGGCTACGACGTGTCCGGCACCGAGATATCGGAGCGACCTGTACGCTTCGAGGGCGACAACTTCCTGCAATTCAAGCATCGCTCCGGAAGAAGGTGAGTAACACTCAGCCAGAATTGCGAAGAATCGATGATCGAAAGTTTAGCTCGCATCGGCACATCCTCTAGGATGTTCGATTAGGTGCACTTGAGATTAGTAACCTCGGTCGCTCGACGACTAGAATAATTAGCGTTTCCCGACTAACGACTACTGTCACTAACCTTCTGATTATGTAACCACCAATTAGTACTAACTCGACTAACACTACCCTCGGCGAGTACTTTGAGGAGTCCTACTCCGACTACGACTTGGAGGAGGACGTCGACTACGAGTACGACAGTTACGATTACACGGAGTAAGTTTTCTAGAAAATGAAAAATGGCTGTGGTGTACTCGTTTGAGGGATAGATTTTCCTGCTCGCGCACTGTTGTGCCGTATGGCAATCTCCGATAGTCACGTCCCTTAGGCAATTACTGTAAACTCCGAAGCCAATTATTTTATAACGTAATAGGGAACGTACGTAGAATCGATGTAACTATGGATGCAATTAGATAGATAGTCTCTTACAATAATTCTTATCAACGCTACGGTTGTCGCATATTATACAATTAGCATTGTTTTATCGCAGTCTTATTCCTTTCTTACTTTTTGCAATGTAAAATTTGAAGTAAAAACAGCTAAAAGCTGGATATAGGAAAACTTTCCGAAAAGAATTTTCTCCTCTTTATAATCTTTTTTTTATTTTTATTAGTTAACTTCCGCATCTAAGCGTATCTTGTTGTAGTAAAGTATCTGGATTCGTAGTGTGAATTATTGGCATGTACGCAGCTTTGAAATTGACATTTTCTGTTTAATGAATGCCTGTTATTACACGCTCGTGCAGACGCAGAGAACAGCAATCGAACAAGTTTGAGCTGCGGCTGAGGACGATACATCCCGAAGGTCTTATCGCGTGGGTAGGAAGAGGAAAGATGGAGCACCTCTTTTTGTCCCTGCACGGCGGTCACGTGGTGCTCACTTATAAGAGCAAGATTGATGAAGAGATCTCCGTGAGAAGCAAGGTAAGCGCCGTTACATTGATTTAATAGATATCGCGCTCCCCTTTCTTATTTTCGTTCTCCGCGGTCGTTTTAATTTATCTTCCTCTCCTTTTTATTTTTACATTCTCTTTATTTCTACATTGACAATTATTTTATACAATATTTCTTTGTTTGCTTTATATTTAAAATTATACTTATCCAATTGTATATTATACGAAGTAACAAAATATAGCATCCATTAGCAACTTCTGACCAAAATATCTGTTTCTACTAAAATCGGGTAGAAAATGCACTTCTCATTGTTATGCGCGATTAAACAAAGCTCTCGGCTTTTTCAAATTTATACTAAACTGTTGTGTTCATGATGCGATAAAGAAATCTTGCTTTTTCACTTGATGTTTGTCCAAAATTTCCACGATTCTAATTATTGTTATCGTGATTGCAGGAGAGAGTGGACGACGGTGTCTTCCATCACATCCGAGCGTCCCGGCGACGAAAGGCGTGTACGATCCAGATCGACGAGAACGCGCCCGTTAAGATCTCGACGGAAACAACGTGGCTGACGACTAACGGCAAGATTTTCGTCGGCGGCAAACCCGGCCATCGCGGCATCAAGGGCTGCGTGACGGACTTCATCGTCGACAAGCGGCGGCTGCAACTCGCCAGACGGAAGATCGACTTCTGCCACGACAACGATGTATGATAACGAACCCCGAGCCCGACGATCGTCAACGCGACGTCGATATCAGAGAACCTCGTCGACCCGCCGACGCCGCCGTCGTCGACGACGATGAGTTGATGGCGCGATACGAACGCGAACCTTGACGCGTAGAAATCGCAAAACAAATCGGCGGACCAAGGTCGACGATCGCCTAAATATCGACTGCGACAAGTACGGTAACGTATCCTGATGATCGTCAAGCCCACCCCACGCCGTTGGAGAGTCGTCTCTGGTGTTCCTAGCGAATTAACAGACTAAACGCGAAGTGCAACGAAGATCGCCGTCGAGACTAAGTGTGGAAGAATCGATGTCCGATCGAGCGGCGTGTTGATTCCTGCCAAAGTTGTGCGAAGAGATGGTCCTCGTTCACGCGAATCGCACTGGGTCCTTGACATGGCGCGCGTTCTCAGGGAGAAGCATAGCTGCAATCCACGATATCGCATTCCCGAGAGGAACGAAATTCCCGCGGGAATACCAAGTGGAATCGGAAATTCCGTTCAAAGAGGAAAAAAAACTCGATATCGTGTTTCTTATAAGATGACTGTCTCAACAGGACCAGAGGTCTCGTAGGACCAGAACTGGCTGAAACTTCCATTCTCAAGGATCGTTCGTTGTATTTTTGGAAGAACAGGGATTCGTGTCCTGATGTAGGGCCAGAACCCTCGGTTTTAGACGACACGTTTCAGAACGCACGAAATAGCGAAAGATAAATTCAGGATCACAATTGGTAATGGCATTGTTCGTTTAAAGCTTTTGACGTCTGGATGAAGCCGGAGCCAGAACGAGAACCAAAGTACTTCCACTTTCGAACGCAGGGTCGTCCGCTTGAAGAGACGGTTACGTCCGCTAAGATCAGAACCGTGACTCCACCGTTGTCGCGCGTGAGAGGTGCGGACGCTACACTAGGGGTTTACCGGCGTACTGTAGAAACTTCGCGAGTACCGCTTTCTCATAGGGCCATCCAATAAATAAGTGATAAGAGATAAGAGGAGAAGTATTCATAGTAGCGGCATTCGATCACTCATCATTCACAAACCGACCACAATATCGAGGTTCTAGTGTAGAAAAGAGCTGCAAGGGTCGATCGCCTCGCGATTATTTCACGTTTATATCGTTCAGAGTCCATCGTCACCGCCGCGTGAACGGATCAAGTTAGAGGAAGAGGAGGTAGAGGAGAAGAGCAGGGGCGAATTAAGTGCTACATTTTCATCGAAAGACAATAATATATTTTTAAGGTGACGAGATTAATATACATATGTGTACGTAATGAATCTATCTGTATACGCATGCGGCAAACGCGCGAGCGGCGCGAATTTAGTGGAGGGGGAAAGGGAGCGGGGTCCGTTCGAAGCGCACCCCTCGTTGTAGAATCTGTACTTATAATTATATTGTACTGAAGCACCTAAACGTTTTACGATGCCAAGACTGACTAAAGCGACGGGCGCACGCGGGCTGCGAGAAGCGACGACGACGACACGGAGGAGCGAAGGGAGGAGAAAAGAAAAAAAAACGAGAGATAAATCGGTGTTATGTTTGAGTGTTCGGTAGAGAGATTTAAATGACCGTGGATTTCCCGGAATAGAGGAAATATGTATTTTAAAGGACTTGTTGATTTATCGCCAGTATAGTAGACAAAACTCACGCGACACGACACGTTGTTTTTAGGTAGGGGAGGCTTTTTACAAATGCGCAAGAGAATAAATATATATATAAAAATATATATATTATACGTACCACTTATATACAGAAGGTTCTACATTCCATTCGATGGACGGAAATCGCGGTTAAGTTTTAGATAGGTGGCTGTTGACGATGACCGACGTGAAACGTGGTCCGTGACCACTCAGTCTCGCGGATTGTACGATCTGAAAATTTCATTTCGTAATCGCGAGAAACCGTTTCCTTGCCAGAAAGAGGCAACTCTGTAAACTTGTGAAGACTGGACGCTTATTTATTTCTATAAAAACTTGCGGTTTCTCCAATTTTATTTATATTTGTACCGCGATAGGAAAGTATTTGGAAAATTATGTGACTAAATCTGGATGAATGCTTGGAACGCTGGAATTATGAATGCATATTTCGAACAACGTGTGCAGAAATGGAGACCTTCCATCAAATATTGACAAATATTTGCACAATGTATTTCTAAATAGTATGTCAGCAAGACAGCAGCGTTTTCGCGAATCACCTTAATGCAATAATTGTAGAATTTTCTCCTTTTGGACGGTGCAATTATTGCACAATACTTGAGACATTTTCCTATCGGGGTACAAACGTCGAAACAATATTATTTGCATCGAGTATTTATTAACTAACACGTCGAAAATACTGAAATTATACCTTTCGTATATCTTAGTTGACGTAATTATAATTAGTTGCGTATAACGATCCAGTCAAGTCAGCTGATAAATCCGAGTATCGGTCCCGTCAAATTTAATTTCCAAGATCGCCGTTTTAACATTCGAGAAATATAATATTTCCCTTTCAAGGGTTCGGTCTTACCGCGTTAAATATTAATTCGAAATGCACTTCTCGCGAAAGTTACGCCTGTGCACGTCTGCGTTACGAGGATGTCGCAGCGAGATTTTTCCGCTGCGACAATCTGCGATCGACGCACTGAGACGCCGGACGAGCTAATCCGCATCCGGAAGCGATGTAGGCGTGCACGAGCGGCGAAGGGAAACGCGACGCGCGGCGAGAGAGTTTCGCGCGAGTGACCTGTAAATAATTCCACACACGCGCCGCTAAATGACGAATTTAATGAATTCGTTTTAGAGTGTACCATACTATAACCGGACCTAAAGATCATCGTAACGACCTAATTATCGTAACCAATTCACGGATTAGCCTTCGAACGATGCTCGCGATGCGCATCATTTATTTTTCGCGTGACTCAAGAGAGCGCATTATATGCACGCATATAAATAAATATATATATATATATACATATACAATATATGGACAACCACACGCACGTATGTCGAGCTAATGTGAACGTGTTCTTCCCTTCGGACGGAATAGCTAAGCGCCTAAGTTAATCGACGTGAATTTATTCTTATCATGTACGCAACCGTTGTTGATAATTTGAAAACCGTCAAACGTTTCCATCCCTATCTCTCTCCGCGAGCGAAACACCAGGATGCGCCAAACCCCACGTTACGCAAAACGATAAATCATTTTGAAGAATAACGCTGTAATTAGGATCGTCGAAGGACCGCTTGAACAGATGTTGATTTCGTTTTTGTTCCTCGAAAATGCGTAGAAGTGGCAGCGCTCCGTTTTAACGAAATCGTTAATTCTCGATCCCGAGTCCCGATTCTCGCGGCAGCGACACGCGAGCGGACGGCTAAAGTGGTGGAACCGGACAGGCTGGAAACGTTCGGCGGACGTTCACGTGATTACCAGCGAGCGGCGGAAACACTTCCTTCCGGTCACGTAAACGTCGTGAAGTAAGACGGTAGGCAGCGGGCCGCGAAGGGCTCGAGAAATCCCCGTTGCACGCCGGCACGTTCGACGAAACGCGTCTCTGATAACGCGTGACGTTGAGAGACACCGTCGAATTTCGCTGTTTTCCTCCACCACCGAGAGACCGTAATCCACTTTAGTTGCCGCGAGCGTCGTGACGTTACTCGCTTGCCAATATCGTGCTGATCCCGCAGAAAGAACAGGTCGATTAGTACAAAGAACGACAGTGCTTTCCCGTGTAAAAAGAAAACGTATAGCGAATTTATTCCGATGTCGAACGCGTTTGTCGAGAGAGAAAAAAAAAGATGTATTAATCGCGCAAGCTTGAAGTAGAGCACGCAGCGTTGTGATCAGGAGCAGACCTACGAAATCAATTAACGCAATGCTGCGTGTTAGAAAGACTTTTAAAAAGTAATACATAATACGTTTGCAAAAAGGAAGAAGCGAAAGGAACGTTTATTACGAGAAGCCAAAAGGCTGAGAGCCAAATCGCGAGGTCGTCGGGACAAAATCGCACTGTTGGCAATCGAACTTAATGCAACTCGATCTAAGAAACGCTATGTAATAACGATCGCAATGTAATTCGCCAGTATCGGCGGATGCTGCAATAGAGTTACACAGAAGGAAACAACGATTGCTCGCTTCTGCAAGAAGGGGCATCGGAGGGACGATCGATGAAACGCAACGTCCATGATCGCAGCATATCGATCGTCGTCGTAAATCGTTCGCCGTCTACATCTCCGGAGACAATGTATAAAAGGCTTGATTCAAACTACGGGCTCAGTGACGCTTCGCAATAGGTCGGAATTAATGCAAATGAATGCATGTCCAATCCCAATCTCGAAAACCCAATCTGGACGACAATTGAAACGCATGATTTAGGTAGAAGAGGATACTTTGCGTAGGCCGTAGATAATTCGACCTTTTTATGCGTAATACAATAAGATTGATGTCATAACGTAAGATCGCGTCCTTTCTTAATGTAATTTTTCTTAATTTTATAAGATAATTATGCAACTGAACGAAACTTATGTTTGTGAAATTGCAAACAGCAATGATAAAATTCTGAAATCACACGTAAAAATATCATTTTTTATATACGTTTTTCGTATGTTTAGAATTAACATTGATAAAATAAGTAATTTAATGCGTTGCTTGATTTAGAAGTATTATAAGTTTAATTATAATCGAGCATAAATAATGTAATATGAGAAAGTGCATATTGTAATAATACATAGGATTATTTATAAGTTAGCGTAAAATTATTTTTTTATGAGTATGTTGAGCAAACGTAGCCCTACTTTCCGAAACTTGTTCGTATCTCTCGATTTAATTAAATCCGTCCCTGATAGTGTGAATCAAGCCCCGCTAATTTCGGCCCGTATTGACATCCGACATTTACCGCTGAACGTGTCTCTGACGGTAATGAGACTAATGAGGCCGATGAGAGGCCACCTTGACGATAACAAAACAGCAAGACAGAGGACGAAATAAAACAGCCGGATTCGGCGCTAAATGTGGAGGATCAATGTGCGGCCTGGAAAATACGCTTACACGAAATTGCGGCGAACATCGTCGGGTTTCCTTGACCCGCATTCGAACATTCTTTATACGCATATGTTGTAGTGTCTCACGAAAGTCCTAATTACTTCGCGAAGAGCCCGGGAATTCGCGTCAAATCCCAAGAGGTGTGTTACAGAATTTCTTACCACCGCGAGAAAAAGGATCACAATGATAAGTTACGCCCTCGTAAAGGTAATTTTGGGCAGTTTACAGCCACGGCTTTTCGCGATGTAATTAAAAACGTGAGATATGACGCTCTTACGGCGTATCGATCAATCGCGATCGCTGTCCAATTTGAACCATATCCGCGAGCGACGCGAATATCAATCGCGCCCAATCTCCGTACACATATCCCTCCCTTTTCGACACGCCAATTTTTGTCTTTTGGAAGGTTTTTTATCCTCCCCGTTTATCTTATCGTCGACATATCGAACTACACCAGCGACGTGCCCCGCAAACGAGAACCGAGAGACTCGACTCAAAGAGAAAAGCAATTGAATCTTTATCCTATTGCAATTTTTGCTCATATTTGTAATCGGGACGAGATACGGAAGAAACCGAAGGAAGTCTTTATGCGCTTCTCGAGACTGGACGCACACTTGTTGCGAATTACATATCTAAATATTTTTGATATTCTCGAAGACGTTGCTTCTTTTACTTTATACCGTTCTTCTCATCGGATCCACTTAGTTTTCCAATTTATATACGAGCAAGCGCTGAAATTATGCGTGACAAATATTCATGACTGGTTTAACAAGCAAAAGACTTATTTGATACATATACAAAACAAAATTGCCGGCTTCGACCGAGTCGGAGAAAGGCGCGGATGAAAGAAGACATGTTGGCTTCCGTTGCAATATACGACTAACGCTACTGCCAATATAGAAATAGAGAATCCTACGATCGATGTTTTTCTCGGAAGGTGTGTACATTTTGATGATCGAATTATTCGCGCGTCATCGACTGCTGTATCGAACTTGCTGCCTTCGAAAAATGCGAGAGATTCGGCCTGCCGTTCTCACTGCTCGTTCAGCGCTAAAAGTGACAATTTGCCGGCACGCCGAAGTGCAAATGTTCGCGACTCGCGAGCCTCGTCGGCCCGACATGAAAATCCGTGGCGGAAATGGAGCGCACGTAGCGCTGAACGCGCGGCAAAGATACGAGGCACCGGTCTGTCCTGCAACATGTTGAAGAAGCTTATCGAAAGCTTCCGCTTGGACGGACATTAAATATCCCATTCAGCGTCGTCGCTCATCTTTCTCGCGCGAGAGATATACGCGCGGCGGGACGCCCCTCTTATTAATTAGTTTTTCTTTTTTACTTTGATATCGTCTTTACCGAGATCACCTGGCGTTCGCTGACCTAAAGTAATCGAGCTACACTGTGTAACAAAGTGCGCGTTGTAAAGTGACTGTATATACAAATATAAATTATGCGATTACCTTCCTTCCGCACATTCTTTCTTTCTTCCTCCCTCTAAAGACCTGTGCCCATGCTAGAACTTGGTCCAACTTCTACTTTCGCGAAATGTGTAGCCAATCAACTTGCAGCTTTCATAGAATAGCTGCAAGTTGATTTGGCTGCGCGTTTCTCGAAATTAGAACTTGGACCAAGTTCCAGCATGGACACAGGCCTTTAAGGTCCGCTCTCATTTGAAATCCAATTCTTCGAGGTAAAAAGAAAATGTGCACCACCCCAGATAGCACACGTAGTTCCATGAACATTCTTCTGGAGTGCAAATATTCTCAATTTCAGAATATTCGAATTGAATATTCTATAAATCTATATAGATTATTACAATTAGAAATCGCGTTCATAACAAAGAAGAGCGTTTGTAGAATATTCGTCGAGAATGTTTGGAACATTCGTTCAGAATAATTTTTGAATATTCATCGAGTTTATGTATTGCGCATTGTTTATTGTCTAACGCATTTATCTTATGCAAAAGGCAGCGAAACCTGTGCGCATACTATACATATAACCGGCACGCATAGATTTGATAGATTATTCACATTCGAAAAAGACTTATAGTAGTGTCAATCAAATGTTCTACGAGCATAAGATAAATATTTAAGAATTACCTATGGAATATTCCAAATATTCTTGAAGAATATTCTCAAAATGCTCATAGGAGTGTCTTGTGCTATCTGGGACCGTCCCCATACAGCACGCATGTCTAAAAGACATCTTTAAGACGTCTTTAAGTCGTCTTTAAGTCGTCTTTTAGATATGTGTGTCTAAAAGACGACTTAAAGATGTCTTAAAGATGTCTTTTAGACATGCGTGCTGTATGGGTCTTATGTAAGTGTCTTACGTATAGATAAAGATGTACGAGATGTATAGGCTGTTCCAATATAACTGCCGCAATATCTTTAAAAGGCAAATACGAGATATCAGTTATTTATTTCGGGTAAGATATTTACATAGTTGACAACACGTCGATAAAATATTCTATAAAAATCGTACTAATTGCGCTAATCGTGTCACTGTCACATTAATGTACCTCACTTGCGCCGCTCGCGAAAATATTTACACCGATCCGCACTCCATTCATTCTCAGCGTACAAAACCGACGAGTCGAATGCAAATTACATACTATACTGGTCGTTCGTGTTATTGTGAAGTATAAACGAATAAATACAGGCCAAACTGGATCCCTCGACAACCGCGAATGTCATTTGACGATCGGTAACTTTAATACAGAAAGGGTGATGATTTACATTAACTATCCAGTGCAACGTTTCGGATTTCCTCGAGTCGTTGACTATACTCCTTGCGAATTTCTTCGATGGGTTTGACTAAAAATATCGGTACGTCATCGTCTCTCCTCTGTGGAAAATCAAAAGTATGTTAACACGGAATTAACAAAACGTAACACAGCTAACAATATTGAAACCAATTCTTGTCAAATTTCACATCTTTGCAAAAGAGTCATTTGCAACTATTTGAATAGGAACAGCGTTTAAATATTGGAAATATCATTCGTCCAATTACCTGAAAAAGACATTCGCCCTCGAATTCTAAATATTTCTGTTTCCTCGCTCTCAGCAACAGTCCTACGCATTTGTCGCTGATATTAGTATAAATATTGAAGATGTCGCCGAACGTGATGCCGATGACGTCAGGTTGATCCCGGCAGGGTGTGCCTTCATGGGCAATAATTTCGCAAAGTTCCAGGATTTCCTTCAAGACATGGGCGTTCGCTTTTCGACCACGTAGATCAGACAGGGAGCCTGCTTCTGGTCTGAGAGAAAAACATCAATGATAATACGTTAATTACTTGTGATTATATGTATATTCGTATGAATTAGTTATATCGCCAGTTTGTTATAAATATCGTGAGAAATCTACAAAACTTATACAGTGATAAATGTTCACGTACCTGCCATATTCCTCTTTCGAGAATTGTGGCTTTTCGATGTTCAAACCAGAACTGAACGGGTTTTTGCTCTGCCTATCTTTATGTTTGTTGGCATACTGGTTGAACATAGCAACCTTGGCGCCCAAGGATTCCTTCAAAGGAGAGAAAGCACATTAATTACTAATTCATTATTCACGATCGATTAAGACGTAATGGGTGAAGAAATATTTCATTTCGTGGACAATTTGCTTGCACCAAGTATTCTAAGAGTTTCATGTCCGATAAATTAAGGAAAGGAAATTTGAAATGATAAAGTACATATTTTGGAAAATTTTAGATTCAAAATATTTCGACGAAGATTGTCGCGGAGTGAGTCGAGTTATTCGGCACCTAATAAGACGGGAATTTCTGGAAATCTGCCAAACTGAGCCTAAGAATTGACCCTGACCATAAATGACGTCTTAATGGCATCTTGACAAATTTTCAGTTGCGCGTGTGCCATGGGTACATTCATTCGTGCACTCACACGGCCATTCGTTTCAGCAGATGAAAGATTTTAATGAAATCCCTTTTTATTTAAAAAAAACTGTAAATCTGAATCGTCATCTTTTTGAAACAAAAATAATCCCAGTTAATAAAGAAACCTGCATTCGATTCATAGATTTATGTAAATTTGTTAAAAATAGTAGAGGAAAGTCCTCTATTATGGAATAGCTTTCTGGTATGAGATAGCAGGTTTTCAACGCCCAAATTCAATCACAAATCTTTTTTTCGCAACGATTACATAATCCAACAATCAATTTTCCACTAAACAGATTTCGCTCGAAGGGCAATAAATTCATGGTGAAATCAACTGACGATACCTATTAATTTAACAGAAATCTCGCTATCCCATATTAGGATCCTGTCTCATAATAGGGGACTTTTCTCTTGTCAGATATTAATATTACGAATACCATATCATACGGAAATATGGTTCAGTAGAGAATGCATTAAAGCAATTTCCTTTGTCCACTCAACATGTCTCATTTTAATTTTCTATTATTTATCAATAATGTTTTTATAATTAACTCTATCCCGAAAAGACAGAGCTATAAACTTGCTTTATTCACTCAACATCTCTAGCATCTCTCATCTTAGTGTTCTATTATTTATAAAAAAGAATTT